GCAGCCTGCCACTGGGTTTAGGACATGTAGGAGGTCTGGGGGGGTGGAGCTGCTACAGATGAAAAAAGTCAGTTCTACCCATTAGGGAGCTAATAAATATAATAGTCCAGTATAGGAACCATCATAAAATATTGAATATTATGACCAGGGCTAAGGGAGGATATAAAGGGGACAGCCAGGGATGCAATCCCAGGCAAGAGAGATCTAGAACCTTCACTCATTATAGCCATCAGTATCCCTAACCGGCTTCCCCTATGTAGTGCCAAACCCTAGAGGACAAAACAGACTCTGTTGTCTCTCTTCACAGTTCCTCATCATGTCTAACAGAGTCCAATACAGTACAGAAATCGCCAAGCACTGTAAACAAAGCACAAGACAACACAACCAACGGTTCTAGGTAGTAGGGAAGGCGCTGCCACTGGCCTGGCCTTCAGTGGGAAGCTCCCAGGAAGTTCCTCCAGATGCTCAGATGTCTATTAAAACTTCATCCACAGAATCTGAGAATCCGCAGAAACACAAGACAAGTTCCTGACTGTCAAACAGCTAACAGCTACAGCTCATTGTGTGGGCAGGACAGAAACCAGTTCAAGCTTCACAAACAGGAACAAGAAAAGGAACTTGACTAATAGCCAAATGGTACAGTATGCTCAGGCCGTCTCTGCTGTGAGCTGGCCAGCTCACTCATCATTCATCTGTCAGCACAGGGTAATTAATAACCTCTGTCATTAACCTGACACTGGGAACCAGACCCCTAAACTCGCAAACAAACACACCTGCAGAGTTTTCTTTAGTGCCAAAGAAGAAAAAACCCTTCGAACAAAACCTCACTGTCAAGTGCGGTAAGGAGCATGGTTCTGGAGAACAGTGGTAATGTCCAGAGTCCATCCCCAGCGTTTCTCTGCCTCCAGGGCACTTCCGCTCAACTGTTCGCTCTCACCCCAGCTCAGCACACACCACCGTCTCTCTTCATTTTCCTGCCACTGCCTTGGTGCAGCCTGTAAGTAACTTGCGCTGCTGTCCCTGAAGTGCCATTGGCAGCCTTCCTCTGTCCTGCATCCATGCCGCCAGCCTCTCCAGCGTTGGGCTCCCACTCTGAAAGCAGAATCTCAGGAATCCCGGCATTTCTTCATCTCTGCAAGAAGTGATGTCTGTTGGCCATGTCTCTGCCCAACAATCATGGGACACCCCTTCCCAAGTTTTCCAGATCGTCTGCCCTACATTGACTGTTTTATTTCTTGAGAACTCCCAGAATTCCAGCTGCCTCCCGCCCCTGGAACATCTGTCTCCTCTTGACAATTTTACTATATCTACCTATTGCTTATTACACGGACCAACTGAGGAGCCGATAAAACAGTAAAGGCAGTGAGAGCCTGCCATTTTCTGTCTCTCGCAGAGACCCCACCCCATGGAAGTGCTTTTCTGTGGCGCCTCCTCAGGTACAATCATCCTGACTTTCCTGAACCCGGGAGTTGGTGGTTCAAGAAGCTCTCTTGCTTTTGGCTGAGCAGACAGACTCTTGATTTTCCAAACCAGAAGGGGAACAAAATTGATATTGCTAATGCTACTCCCCCGTTGCTTCTTAGAAATGATTCTCATTCCCTTTAGAATTAATATATCAAGCTCTAGGATTTCCAAGAGATGGATGATGGATTTGCTGACAGTTGAGTCTCTGGACCGAATCCAGTGTTCCCTAAACTCTGCTGCTTTCCTAATCACAGAATGAACCACACAATGACAGAAAAGCAGGGGAGATGCGGATGGCAGAATGGTATAGAAGCATCATCCTGTGCCTCCTGGGGTGGGGGAAGATTTCTACAAACGGCACACTCAAGCCTCTTCTCCCCAACCCTTCTGAACCCAGGGTGTCTGTTACTCAATGAGAGTCTACCGCACACCAAATGGGAGGAGCTTTCGAAGAGTCTCCTAAAGCAGCAAAAAGCAAGTCACCTATGGAAGCTGTCTTGCTCCTTGCCAACAGGTGACCACCATGGGGAAGTTCAAGAGGGGCGTGAATACCTCCTGGGCCTCCTGCCACCTGGACAGTAGTAAGAGGTTTATGGAGCGGGAGCGGCACTGGGAGGAGATGGCCACGCCTCTTCCATTTGGAGTAGCACAGCACAGGGCAGCTCCCATCTCTGCATTAGCAAGTGGACTGGCTGAGGTGGCCTCTGTCTTTTTTAACACCCTCTAGAGCCGAGGAGAGGATGGTGGAAGCAGGAGGTCACAATGTCCCCATCTTGTTGAGCTGGAAGGGGAGTGGAAAAGTAAACAAAATCCCCCCTGCACTCACATGTAACCTGAGAAGACAACTCGAAATCCCACCAGCTAATCAGTGGGATCATGACAATTCTATTGAATATGCGTGTGTGTGTGTGTGTGTGTGTGTGTGTGTGTTTGCCTTGCAGTTTTTACTTTCTCTATATGATATATATGATATAAACATATCATATATATATTTGGCAATTTTTTCTCTATAAAGCACTAAGATCGATTTATTTGTGGGGTTCTTAGAGATAACCTAAACGGGTAAAATGACAGTTGCCTTTTACTCAAATGGCCAAGAACACTTTCCAGGTGTTATTTACTTGATTCTGGAAGTACTAAGGTCAGAAAGAGAAGTAACTTCCCCTGAGAGAGACACTAAGGTCTTTCTCATTCTAGAGACTTTTCCTTAACCTTACAAAGGGCATCTTATGTACAGAGGAGGCAACAGTCCTTACAACTCAATCCTGACAAAGTAAGCATGTGTGCCGCACAGGAGCCATCTTTCCCCGTTACAGACTCTCCCCTGGAGGAGGTACAGATCCACAGGAGAATGCCAGCTTCTTCGTAGGGCAAAGGTCAGCCTCTGTGGGTGGGTGTCTGTCATTTGAATTATACCTGACTCTGCAGCAAAGTGTCTGCAACAGGATGCAAGCAAAGCAAGACGGAGAAGCGACACTAATTCTGGAGCCTTGTCCCAGAGGAGAACACTTTCAGACTGGAAATAATGAGACTAAATGCCATTTAGCATAATGGCTCATGACATTAAAATAAATGTTCAAGTCGTGAGATTCGAGCACACAAGGCAAGAAGTGACTGCAGGAAACAGTAAGGTGCAAACAAATGGTGTCAGCTCGTGAGAGCGGGCTGCCCCTGCTCTTCCAGGCGCATCTGACCTGAGCCGTAGCTAACGCGCGCTGCTAGCTGTGCAGCTGTGCAGTGGCCTTCTTGCACAAGCTGTCAGTCCCCTGGACAGACAGGGGCCTTCGGAGCTGCAGCAGGTTGGGGGTGGGCACACCAGGGTGTACTTGTGCTCTTTCTCTCTCTTTTCCTCTGACTACCAAGCGCCCTGGAGTCTCTCCAGCTTCCTCCTCCTTGTTAAGGAGTTCCCTTGCCTTCCTCCGAGTTTCCTTGCCTTCTTCCCTGTCTCCCTCAGTCCCCTAGCTTCCACCCACAGGATAAGCTGGTAGACCGACCGAGGCAAAGCTACCGACATTGCTCAAGTGTTAGTGACAGCATGTCTGGTGTCCGTCTACCCCGAGCTCTGGAAATATACTTAGATACTCACAGATGCCTATTAAATACACCTATTGGATTATTCCATGATTAGAGAAGATCCAAAAGCCACCTGGGAAGCAAAATCTTGGCACCTTAAAGTCACAGAAACACACACGCATGCCAAAGGATAGCGTTTATGAACGACATCCACACGTACTACACCGAGCAGGACTCCCTTGCACAGCCGCTGGAAGCCTTACTCACACACAGGCACCTCCCTTTCTGCCTGCTTAGCCCAGAAATCCTACCCACTCTAAGTTGGGGACCACAGCCACCCTCTGAGGAGTAAGCACAGCTCAGAAAGATAAGTCCCAGAGCCCATGACTAGGAGTCTGGGAAAGCCCTTTATTAAACCTCGACCTATGAAAATGGAGATTAAAAAATTAAAAATAAACATGGACAAAAGCCCCCTAGCTAGATGTTGTCCTACTCTGGCTCCTGAACATGCATTTCCTACACCTACGCCTGATCTAACAGGCCTTCCACCAATTGATCTCCCCGGCTGGCCCTCGAGCGTGCCTTGAAAAGACTTGACGGTGTAGAAGTCTGTGCTAGGAGGTTCCCCGCAGGCAGTCAGGGTCTTTAGGGCAAGGAAATTTTCGGGGCTGTACCCTATAAGTGCACAGAACTATGACTGCAGATAGAAAGTGAGGGATCCTGGAGTCTGGACCCCGGGCAGGTAGAGGCAGAGCCGCTGGTGGAGGTGGGCTGAGTCTGGTGGAAAATAGACCCACGGTTGTGGGCAGCTTCCTCCTGTTGCTCGGTACTGGGGAGAGGCGGAGGAGGACATTCATTTCTCTCCTAATAAGCAGCCACCTATCCTATTGCTTCCATAACTATTGATTATGAAAAGCTTGCGGCGCCTCTTAAAGGGAACAACCAGCTCTGCGTGTCACCGCGACTGCTTTAAGACCCCTCATCCAGGGCCCTCCTCCACTAGCCACGCCACAGAGTTGGGCTAGGACTTCTGTGCCGGCTTGCCCAGCAGTCTCAAGAACCGCAGACACAAGAGGAGCCAAGAGCCAAGGGCTCTCTGCCCACGGGTCTTTTCTTCCCACCGACTCTGAGGCATGGCCTCACAGCCCCAGGATGGAGGAAAAGGCAACACACGGAAAGTTACTTCCAAAGGGTTGCGCCGGTTTCCGCAGAAAACTACAAGGCGTAGATTTCTCGAGCCCCCCGCCCCCCGCACCGCCCCAGTAGTGAGCCTCAAGGCCGCCGCTGGAGACCCCGCCACAGTGTGATCCATGGGTAAATGTCCCTCTTGTCCCTCCGACGCACCTAAGTGCCATGGGGTAGGAGGACACCCCAAAACCAGTTCCCAGTTTTGGTCTGAAAGATCTTGGCTGCCGGGGGACCGGCCTCCTGCCCCGCAGCTCCAAGAAATACTCTCGGTTTCCTGCACTGGCCTCCCCTCCTCTCCAACCCCAGCCCTCCCGGCAGGGTTGCCCCCTCTCTACCTGCAGCAGTCCCAGGCTCGCCCTCGCTCTGCTCTCCAGAATCTGAATCCATACTGTGGGCTTCCGCCCGCGCATCCACCACCGCCCGCCTGCGGGGCGCTGGTGCCGGCGTCCCGGTTCGGGTGGCGGTGGCACACTCGGTATGGGCTGCAAAGAGTCTGGAGCCGGGACGGAGCAGAGTGGGCAGTGTGTGGTCAGACACTAGGGCCAGGGGGCGGCTCCGCAGAGGCCAAGCCTGCTCCTGTGGCCCGCCCGCCGCCCGCCGGTGCCTGCACGCGAGAGTGGGGGGGGGGGAGGACGGGAGGGGGTAGGATGTAAGAGAGGGGGAGGAGGAGTGTCCAGTGCCCCGGGGCTCCTGGCTGGGATTAAGTAGCCTGGGTTCCTCTACACCCAGAGCTGTGGAATGGGAGCCCGGCGAAATGGTGCGGGTCCTGGAAGTCAGAAGTCCCCCTTCTTTGGGTGTGGCAAAGTTTGCAAAATTCTTCAGTGAAAAAGCGCCTCTGACCATTAAAAAAAAAAAAAAAAGAGTTATTATTAAGGTTTAGGGTTGTGAGGCTGCACGCGTTTTAGTTCAACTTCACCCCTTAGACACTTGAGTGAAATCTCTGTGTATCACTTTCCTCGCGTGGAAAAGTGGGCGAACGGTCTTGCAGGAATATTGTGGGATATATGATGCCGGTTCACTTGTAAGAGAACAAGCAGCGGGCCTTCCGCCTAGTGAGGGAGGAACCGACTAGTCAGGTAGAGATAACTCTAGCAGTTCTCTTCTCCGCGTGGGCGTGGCCTGTCGAGCTGGTTCTGAGAGCTGGGTGACGGCCCAGCCTGAGTTGGCCTGGAAGACTGGACCCACCCTGGCAATCATGCTCTGTGCCAATTTTTTCCTCCAGCTCGAGAGGCACGAATTGATTTTTAAAACGTTTTCTTTTCTGGGGAGATGGCTAGTGGGTAAGAACGCTTGGTGTTCAAGCACGGAGGACTGAATTTAAAAGCCCCCCACCCCGTAGCCCCCACAGGTGCCTGTGACCCCATGGAGGACAGCCACAGGAGGAGTTCTGGGACTTGCTGGCTACCAGCCTAGCACCAGGTTCAATTAGAGATCCTGTCTGAAGGGAATAAGATGATAGCGAATGAGGGACACCTGGTGTCCTCCTCTGACCTGGCAGGTGAGGAGGAACCTTTTTCTTGCTGATGGGATTAAATGCAAAGAACTAAACTTTCTCACATTCCCTTTTACTTCCTTTTTTTTTTAAAAAATATTTTATTATCTAATCAATAGACCAAGCCATGGAGGAGACGCTGAGCAAAAACTCTATTGTTAATTTCTGTGTATACATGTACTCTCATTGTATTCCTCTATTATGGGCTTAAAATTCACATAACCCCGAGCCTGCTTTTCTTGAGTATAAACTGACCACGGCGGTCTCAAACTATTGACCTGAGAGAAAAGAAATCAGGAAGAGAATGTTGGCTTAGAGGTGCCAGATTCCCAGTGTGTCCTCTGAACACTCATTTCGTCTGAACTATGTACCACCCAGGGATGGAATTGCGTTTTGGAGATGAGAAACACAGTTGCGATTTGGCTGTCGTATAGAAGCAACCCATGGCCACCCCCACTTTATGATGCAGAATCTGAGTCTCCAGTCCAGGGAGCACAAGCGGGAAGGACGCAAATCAAGGCTGTCTGGAGTGGACAACTGTCTGTTGTGGCCCGCTGTTACAGGCGAATTTTGGCTTCTCATCTAGCTGGTAGCTACCTCATTTCGTGAGAGGCGGACCTCACAGAACATTACTAAAGCTCTACTTTATGTTCTAGGGGAAAGTTTTCTGGAAGACCAAACTCCTTGGCTTCAATGATAAAAGTTGGATGGAATGAAATGCTCAAAAAAAGCCCCTATATAAGAAGTGTGCTCTTGGGCAAGCGGCCCAGCCTCTCTGTCTCCTCCTGTATTAGCATTTCCTCACAGTCCCCTGTGAAGGAGGAAAAGTGGTGGGCGTGGAAGTAACTCGCCAATGCTGATACACTGTTAATGTTTGACAAGGGAAAGACATATATTCCTTAGTCTAATGGGTCTCATTTAGGAAAAAAAAATAAAACCAAAACCCTATTTTTTTTAATGAAAATCAAAAAGGAATGCAAAATTGGACCCCAGTCAATGCTCAGAAAAGAAATGGCTGGGTCATTTTAAAATATTGCTGTGCTAGATCTGATAGCTCATGCTCATAATCCCAGCACTGGGAAGCTGAGACAGAACTACTGGCCACAAGTTCAAAACCAGCCTGGGCTGCAGAATGAGTTACAGGTCAGACTGTCTTGCAGGGTGAGACTTTGCTTCCTTGCGCTTGGTAGGTCTGTTTTTGTTTTTATTTGTTTGTATATATTTCATAGACAGATGCTCTATGAGAGTTATATGGATACAATTGTGTCTAACAGCAAAAATTAAACAGGGACTTCTTGTGCTGAGACCAACAGAAAAGTCCTGGGAACACATATTCCTGACACTTAGCTGCCCATCAGTCACCAGACCTCTGAATGCCAGCTTATTTGAGCCCAGAGATAAGTGCTTGTGAGCGCAGAGGAGGAAGAACTGGTCAAAGTGCCCTGGAAAGTGCAGGAGCTAAGTCTTTCCACAGTAATCCCAGTTAGCCGTTCCCAGCCTATTCTTTCTGCAGAATGAGACAGATGGAGAATGAAATATTGTATGTATGATTAAACAATGGAAGTGAGAGATCCAAACTAAATAATGTCTCCATTCTGGCTTCCTATGATATGCATTATGTCGTCATGAGACGAGACAAAGGGAACTGATTGCTGGCATTCGAGTGTAAAGAGAAATGTTACATTATCTGTGCCCCCAGATGGGAAAGCCAGTGCCAGAGAAGCCCTTAAAGCAACATCTCATGACTGAAGACAGTGAAATAAAAAATGTGATTTTCTCTTTACAAACCCATCCTGGCATTTTTTCCCTTAAAAAAATAAAAAATAAAAACAAAACAAAAAGCCTCTTTAGGAGCTGAAAGGGGAAATAGATTTCATTAATGCCTTTGTGTATTTTTAGAAGAATGGCCTCACTCTGCAGACCTGAATCTAGAGTCAGAGAATTACAATCCGCCTTCTTCGGTTTTTCCACAACATCTTTGGAGCCTGGTAACTCTGAAGCCAAGAGAACATCTAACTCTCTTTGGCCATTTCTTAGCAGCGAATAGAATTTTTCATTTTTTAGAGAAACTGTCTATCTGCTGGGAAAAGTATCTTTATCTGTAAGGTGTCAAGAAATAGAAAGTAAAGTAGACCCATTTCTGCTAAGGCAATAATACTCTTAATCTGAGCCAGGGCTATGACTCATCTGCCTGTCTCCTCTTGTGGGATGGAAAGGGAGTGTCTGCAAACCTCTTGACAGCAAAGGGGAGGGAGGCTTCAAGGAAGGTGGTTTCTAATGCTCCAGCTTCAGATTCAAGTGTGTTTTTCTCTGGGCTGAGGTGGCCTTGACCCAAGAGACGAGGAGTTCTCTAAGCCTCGTTATTGACAAGTTATCTTAAGGTAGACATAAGGTAGCTTCTGCCAGGACTATCATAGCTCCATAGGAGCTGATGTTTACAGGTAGTTTTGTATTGTTTTAAGAGGACAAGGAGCTGGAAGACAGCCTTGAAAGAAGGAAGGGGTTTGCCACATTTCTCTCTTTCTAGCAAAAATAGGGTTTTACGATTCCCACCGCTTCTTTCAGGGCACTATAACCACGGAAAACAGGAAGATAGAAATAAGTAAAAAGGAGGAAAATAAAAAAAATCCTCCATAATCCCACAAGTTATAATCCCTGCTAATGTTCTGTGATGGTTCATCAACTTGATACACACACACAAAAAAGGAAGCTCAGTTGAGTATTTGCCTCCATAAGACTGGCGTGCGGGTCTATCTGTGGAGAATTTTCTTTAAACTAATTGATATAGGAAGAACAAGGCTACTGTGGACTGTACCACCTGTAGGCAGGTGGGCAAGGGCTGTATAAGACTTGTAGCTGGACTCGAGCCTGGGAGGAATCCAGTAAGCAGAGTTCCTCCATCGCTACTGCTTCAAGTCCCTTGGGTTGCTAGGTTCCTGCCATGACGATATGATGAAGCAAGCCCTTTCCTCCCGGGTTGTTTTTTGTCACGGTGCTTCTTACAGTAACAGAAAGCAAACTAGAATGTGTATCTTCTGGGATTTTCCCCTTGCTGGCTGTATGGTATTCTACTTTTGCAGGCTTTGTTTGTTTGGTTTTTAGCTGGCAGAAGCCTGGGGTGGGGTCAGGAAATGAGTACCAAGTACTTTCTTCCCAACTGTCTATCCCTGAATCTTGGCTTTCTGATGGCAGCTGTGTCTCCTCTGTGTCCACCATGAAACTCAGGTGACCCCGGTAGCTAGAATGCCATCACAGCATCTCCGGTCTTGTGTCCTTCCAATGCAGAGTGGCAATGGTTGCCTGCTGCGACAAATGTTCAGATCGCCTCGCTAGCCCTCCACTCTTCCATGGCCTGTGCAACCAATTCCCCAAATTGCTCTGCCTCCTTTGAAAGCAGGAAAAATGCTTTCCTAATTTGAATTTATTAGGACCTCATCAGAAGAATATTGGTTCCTGGATAGTCATGGGCAGAGATATTGGGGGAACCTGGAACTCCAATTCTTTTGGATTCTTTTGGATTCACACTGGAAACACTACTGCAGATGTGGAAAATTCTCCTATAGCTAAGAATATCACATTTATTCGCATGAAGACCTTATCTGGGGCTGGAGAGATAGCTAGAAATTAGGGACATGAACCGCTCTTGCAGAGGATCTGAATTTGGTTCTTAGCACTAATACCAGTTGAAGCCCTGGAGAAATCACGTGTCCAAGTTCTGGGAGTGGCAGGTGAGATTGGAACCCAGAACTCCTGAGGTTTGCCAGACCTCAGCTCCTCATCTGACGCTGGCTCCCTCCCCTGGCTATGCCTTCAACAATCCTTCTCCATGGTTTATGTTAATCACCCTTCTGATCCGGGGAAGGGGAAACTGAATGCTCTACAATTTCCCATTTTAATTTTATTGTAATTATATGACAAACTAGTTCAATAATGCTTCCTTGCTAATTATTATACAGAACAAATGTTGCTTGCCAAGTGTTGAGTGGAACCTTTTATTCTTCTCTTCAAAAATTTTATCCTTAGGAAGGCTAAATACGTGTTCCAATCTGGAAGGCTTCATTTATGTAAGTCTCCGATTTCATAATGTGT